TCCATTATTCCTGAGGACGACCAAGTCCGGACCGATGGAGATCCCTGCCTTCGGGCCCGCTACGCGGCTCGACTCATTCCTCGGGTAAATTTTATCTTTGTGTGCTTTTCTTCCTTCTCTTATTTCTAGTTGGATTGCTATTTCATCCGTTTCTTCTTTCTTTTTTTTTAGCTTCTTGCCTGCATTCTCCCCACTATGATTGAGGAGGCGACCTCTCCTGAGAACAATGTCAAGGTCTTAAGGGAGAAGTACGCAGGCAAGTGTGCCGAGCTTGCGGCCAAGGAAGAGGAGCTTGAGGCTGCTAACGCCATCATCACCAAGCTCCGTTCCGACAAGGAGGTGGCTATTCACAAGGCTGAGCGGCTGAGGGTCGACTTGGCCAAGGCGAGCGATGAGATCCTGGCCGAGCGGGAGAACGGGATAGAGGAGGGCTGACGGACTTTCCTGAAATCCGCCGCGGGAGCAGTTTTTCTCGAGCACTACCGCAAGGCTGTGGTCGAGGGATTCTGCTCTTCCTCGGACTTTCTCGACGAGCTCGTCCCTACGGCCGTCGAGTATTTTGACTTTGCCTGCGACACATGGGAGCAGGCGGTGACCAAGCCTGATTTTTCGGGCAAGATCGATCGCGACGCCGTGAAGTTGACTCTCCCCGATCCCGAAGGTTTTCGGGAAGTTGCTCTTCCTCCTGGCCATACTTGGTGGAGCGGCCTGGCAGCCAAGGCCATTCACTCGGCCGGGCTGTCTTCTCAGCTCGAGGTTCCGCCACTTCCCCTTGTCGGCCCTGTCGAATTGGTCGAGCTGAGTGGCGCGAACTTTGAGGATGAGCCGCTCGACGAGGAGATTGAAGTCGATCGGCCTAACGCGGGGCCGCTTGTAGAGGGGGGAGGTGCTCAGCCCGAACCGACCGGCGATGCGGGCGACGGTGCTGCCGAGAAGTCGACGGCCAACTCTTAGCGGCCTTAGATTGTCATCTATTTTGTTTGTACTTTTTCTTTTTGTTCTTTCCATCTCATCCTATTTTCCCTTTG